CTTTTGACCCCCCAAAGTACCAACTAGATTCACTTTCTGATCGAACGAGGTACTGAAGTCAAAAATCGAAGTATTTTTACTGCCCCAAAACGTGATGACAGACACAAAAAAAAAAAACACACACATCATGGTAAAATCAATACATTCATCGCTCCGCTCAGAATCTAAAATTTAAATAAATTCGTTATTAATGGAAACATGAAAGTTAGTATCTTTTGCTTAATATAAAAAAAATTCAATTTTTTTTAACTTTTAACTTCGATGATAATGAAGAAAAAAACTACGCAGGAMTTATGCACCACATATCTTACATTTTTACTGTTGTCTTCTGTGTTCACCCATTATTCTCAAGGTTAATGCCCATGAAACTCACTTAAGTAGATTTTGAGAAAATGGAATTGCTATACAGGTGCACAGTATCATAATCTTAAATTAGGTCTTGAACAATTACAGAAGTTCTCTTAGTCGAGAGGTTTTCATCGAAGCCATTAAAGTACTTCAGACCTGTAAATTTAAGACCATAGTAAATCGTATGAACTTACAAATTCAAAAATTCAAAATGTCATTAATATGACGTATTTTTATTGTACAATATGTGCGTTTGAGAGTATAAAAATTTTAATATTTCATCAAAAATTTCAAAATTAGAATCAAATGAAATATAATATTATAATTATATAATTTTTAGACACGTTAGCTTTATTAAATATTTTTTCCCTAAAATTAGTAACAAAATTGTACACCAAAGCACCTAAGTCATAACCTCGAGTCCTCGAATCAATAATTGTACAAAATACGTTCACCATTATTATTTTTTTATAGGTACATTATATATATATATATATATATATACATATACTGTACAAGTTTAATGTTTATATACTTGTATTATATTATGTCTGACAATGAAAAGATAAAAAGTAAAAACGAAAAAAAAACTGCGTATTAAAGTGTGTTATTGCGTAATGCAAAATAATATTATATTCAATTTATGGCAAAGACACCCTTTTTCAAACTTATTTGGGGTTAAGGTTCGTTTACTTTGGCCGCCTTTATATCATATATGTAAATGAATATTTCGTATTTTTCGCCGAAAGTGAGGAAATTGAGTTTATTACGTGAATCGGGAAAGGGCTACCTGACCGAAGTACACGAAGGGTAGTCATGTGTAATAAAATACCGACCCTAGTCGAAGGGTGAGGACACAAACACACATACAAGAAGTTATCCAATATAAATTCAAAATAAAAACGGACACTTTTGCACCGTAAAAATATACGTTCACTACTAATATTTTATTCCAACTGATTGTTTTTATTGTATTACGCGATCTCTACACACGAGGGTATTCGTATTATTAAAAAAATATATATACGATTTATCGTTAACAAACGAGCAGTTTGGTGATTGTGTGTAACTGAAAACTTATACATTCATTAGACACGTTTTCTGCATTTAATTACGCCATAAGTGAAATATCCTATCCAAAGCACGACAGCACTGACAGGCGACAGCTTTCTGTGAAAAAGATGCTTTTTCGCATTTGAAATACAAATTTAAATTGTTCGAAAAAACAAACAAAACTTTCCAGAAAAGCAATTAGATGATAAACTTAAGAAAACTTTTAACTTAAATTTCGTCAAACTGTCGGCCGTACGTTTAAATGGTTATTGAAATACTTTTAACGTCAACTATATGAGAAGAATTTTTAAAATACTATCGTGAAAATAAATTGACAGCTTAAGATAATTTTGAAGATGATTATGAATTGGTTATTAAGTGAAATAGTAATACTATATAAGAAAAAATAAATAATTTGTTCTACCAATATTTTTTTTCAAATAAAAATAATCAACGTATGCAAAGTTACGCAAAATCCGGTCAAAATGGTTGAACATTCGTAAATCTACTTGTTTCTTAAATATCATCTAATTCTGCATAACAACTTTCAACAGACAAAAACTTTAAGCCCCTATTTGAAATACAAGTACTAACTACTAAGTAGTAAATATTATCGTCAAACAAACGACAGTACCATTAAAATATAATGATTGATTATAAATTATAATAAACGCTGGTAATGAATTTAGAATTATCGCTAATTGTTTAAATTATATATACGTACATAATTTTCGTAACATATTAATTTGACATTTCATCTATTCGGTGAAATGAAAATTCTAAATAATTTCATTATCGGTTTAACACACGCATACCTACAAAATGTTATTAAAATCCCGGTACTAACGTACATTAAAATTAAAATCTATTTCATTTTCACCTCACCGTCAATCGTAATGTGTTTTATCAAGAACGATTTAGTTACCTACAATAATAATTGTATTAAATAAGTAGACTAGTCAATTTTATTGTTTTTAGTTTTTGTTATACTGTTCGTACAACAAGAATAGAACTGCCAACGCTTATAACATTTAGTGACCTAATGCACGGTTTGACTTCCGGTTTTGACATAACCAAGGACAACARATTCCAAAATTCRGACACGCCCTAATATAATATGTAATAATATACCCACAACATAATTAATATTATGATATACTTGTGCAATAATAATAATAATATTACTATAGTAACGTACAAATGAGTCTTCGTCGTTCTTTAAACGAGTCCGTTAAGCGGTTAMACACCGCGATATCGAATTCGTTCTATAATGTGTATTCATAAAAACGACGACTCCCGCGTCGCGTTGCTATGGGACATTGTGTCCGCTTGAGTCTCTGATTTAATCGATTCAAGTTTGTCAAACACAAGTGACTCCGAACTTTATCTATGATAAATATTTATAATAATACGAGTATATGCGTAGTATTATATTTGCATACATATGGCTAAAAAAAAAAATAAGAAATAAAACTATTCGTCGTCTGTTATTCGTATAGGTATTTTAGCAGCTATCCAGCTTGATTTTCCGATGCATAATATACGTTCACAATAATATGTATAACCTAATTGAGATTTTCATTAAACATTTGACAAATTAAAATGTGGTCAAAATCTAACTATATTTGATTTGTGCAGAGAAACTGATTAAGTTATTTCGAAATTGTACCCTGTATAGTGTATAATATGATGATGGTATCATCTAGTCCCTACTCACTATTTCTAATATTAATATATTAACAGTTAATTCCTAACGGTCTATATCATTTTCCCATCATTATAATAGGCTTATGTATTATGCAGATATTGTTATTGGTTAGTTTAAGTTTATACTCGTATATTACATATACGTATATATATATAAGTTATTATTTTGTAGAGTACTTACCGGMAAATATAAAAGATTTATTCTACTTTCAATATATTTCATTGAAATTGTCGTTTGATTATAACAACACATTCAACCGACACTCAACAGGTCAACAGTATTTCGAATAACTCTGATTACTTATCAAAAATGTATACATGAAATATATTATATTCTTTTTGAACGTCAAAAATTACAATATTGAACATTTCCGAAGAATAGTTGTAATAATATATCCGATCGTTATAGTTAGTTCATTTTAAAGTTACGTATATTACAACACCTACTTGGTACGCAAACGAATATATCATCGACTGTCGGAGAGGAAATGCAATGCGAATGTTTCAGACGCACTTAACCTATTTGCGGCCAAATTGTATTCACCCTACCTACCGATGCTCGTAAACAATACCTATATACGTATTTTTAGCATAATGAACTCTCAACTTTGATCGAGTTTTCGCGTGGAAAATTTTAAAMAAATTCGTCTGAAAAAGCTGAAAATAAAAKCACTCGYGCATTTGACTGCGAGAAAAAAAAACACTATACCATCAGCTGTACCTATTCGTTAAAGAGGAGAAAAAAGCCTCAGACACTGCAAAGAGAGTGTTCTACGCGGTACAAGCGACTGTCTGCAGTCAACCGTCCGGAACAACTGATGTTTTGTTCGCTGTTAAGTGTTGTTTTTATAAATTTTCTGAGACCACGACCGAAGTCTGCTAGAGCATTTTCACGTCATCCGCGAGAACAGAGTACCTATGCTGTGTTGTTATATCCGCTGAGTAAACGACGTTTTATTTTTCACGCTGCGTTTATAACATAATATCATTTAAGTACGACGTAAAGTTTTTAGAGACTTACAAGGAAAACGTTTGTGTGGTACAGTTGTGGTGCGTATGTTAAAATATAAACCCGACAATATCCAGCACCAATTCGTCGGTACATTGTGAAAAATATTGTTAAATTTCAACTAATGTCACTATGTGCATYTACAYATGCTATGTAAGTTAATTAACTTTAAATGTAAAAGTAAAAGTAGGTASATTTATCACAAGTATTGAAGTATATAATATTCATACTCATTTCTGTATACATTTCAATCAAAAGTGTTGTAAATGTATTTGTAAATATACAGGGGTAATCATGTAATATTACACATTTTTTTTTTTTTATTGATCTTTATAGCTTCGGCGACACGGGCCATTAGCTTTATACATAATTTATATTATACTATTCTTAAAACTATATTTATTCTAATTAAATGTATTTATCTATTTTGGTTGTCCTGAAGGAATGACATGATTTTTTCGGGTTGACAGTCGGGTCCGATTGATTCGTATTACACATTTTGTATATCTAAATAAATTTACTCATAAAATTGTTTGCAGATCAATAATATTCATTATTATTATTAGCAAATAATTATTAGTAAATATGTGATATTGTAATTTTATATTATGATTATTATTGTATTATTACAAATACCTCTACAGAAATGTCCCTACATTTTTAATATTACAAATAGCGAATTAAAATTGTAGTTTATAAGAAAAACTAATATTGGTTATTTCACTATTTCGCAGATTATAATATTGATTTTTATTTTAGTTTAGTTTTTAATTTCTGTTCAACGTTAATTTATCTGAACAGGTACCAACTAAACGTTCATTATGAAATATGCAGCTAGGTCTCAAAATTGTATACACTAAATACTATTTTAATACAATATATTATTATGTATTGCATGATCATTATAAGCTATATTAAATCCACWGGCATGTATGTATTCATACATTTATATTTATATGAATAAAAAATACAATTTAATGTTAAACCTAATATCTTTAATTTCTAATATTTTTGTTCCTTTTTTAGATATAGAAAATTACCACGTACATGAATAAATAATATTTGCTTTCCTTTATATAATATTATGTACAATTGTATAAACTACTAGAAACGTGATTTTACCTATATACCTACATAATATAATCCTTTTTTCTTTAAACATGAGTTCAATTCAAATATTATATTATATTATAAATTAACTATTAATATGGTACTTAAAACCAAAAAAAATGTATGGTTATACCAGAAAATAAGACGAAATTATTAAAATATTCAAATCATAATAATATAGTATCCTGTATTCGAAGTAATTTTGATACAAATTTATTTCTATGCCATAAACCCATCTTGTATAAAATCCAATTTAGTGAGTTTGATAAACAAATAC